TCCAATTATACCCTTACCGTTATATTACGACACCGATTTGCTACTAATTTAGACAAATGGTACACGCGGCAAGCTAAAAAGCAAATAACCGACCCTCAATTTTAATACCCGAAGCCGGTAAATTACCCGACCTATTCCCCTCCATAGACAAAGGGATAAATAAATGAAGTATGGTAAAATTCTGGAGCATAAAAAAAAAAAATTGTATGATGCTTTGCGTTGAAAAAACTAAAAATAGAAAAACTATTTTTAAATAAAAAGAAAGGAAAAAGGAAGAGTGTTCCCACAATTAAAGATCAGTAATCAGGGAAAACATTACCAGCCATTTATAACTTTAATAAATCGAATTACACAAAAATCTAATGATGGCTCAACATGTGACATGTCTTGTAATTTGACATTTAAGACTGGTTTAACACGCAAGATTAAAATTTGTAATTTTGTATTTACCTCGACCCCTATTTCTTCCCTAAAGCTATTTCTCTATTTACACGAGTGAATTAGGAAAGGAGAACGGGAAAGGAGACAATGAGAATAAAATTTATTACGAAATATTAGACAGAAACTCAATCCCCATTTAATTTGTGAACATAAATTTCTCACCTTATCTTATCCATTATACCCAAATTGCACAGTTAATTTCCAAATCTAGGATAAGAGTTTCCCTTTTCGAAGACCGTTAATATTACAAGATTCGGCTGTAAATACGATAACCTAATGTCAAATTATAAAAAGACGTGATTTATAGTAAGTATTCTTATCTAGTTTTTGATTTTGTAAATATTATATTAAAGCAATTAATAAGTTAATATCCGACTTGATATTTAAAAAGATGATAAAATGACCATCTATAACCCCTCAAAATTTTAATAGCCCATGTTTTTCTCCATTGACACGAAATGTCCCTTTGGACCAAACAATTACATTTAATAGCCCGAAATGTCTATATTGTATATTTTTTGTATAGTGACTGTCTATTTTGTATATTGTTTGTATGATGACAATTTATTTCGTATATATTTTGTATAGTGACAGTCTATTTTTTTATATATTTTGTATAGTGACAGTCTATTGTATATAAATTGTATAGTGACAGTCTATTTTGTATATAAATTGTATAGCGACAGTCTATTTTGTATATATTTTATATAACGACAGTCTATTTTGTATACAACATATCAGTATTATCCCCACCGTAAATTTGTATAGTGACAGTCTATTTTGTATAGTGACAGTCTATTGTATATTTTTTATATAGTGGCAGTTTATTTTGTATATATTTTGTATCCCGAGCACTTTAATCTATCCAACATGTATAGACTGTTGTATGATGTATAAAAGTGTATATATATTAGTCTTTTACCTTAACTTTATCTATTTAACGTGTATAGACTATTTTGTATAAAAATTTATAATTAAGAAGCTGCTAACATTTCTATTAAAACAAAAATCAAAGAACGGTAATGAAAAAAAATAATAGGCCCACCTCACAAAAAGATTAAAGTAATTCTATTGAATCACAACTCACAAGACTCGTGTTACTCTAATTATTATTTTTTATTTAAAATTTGAGCTATTTTTTAATTTCTATTAAACAAGCATAAATTTCTTTTTGCTAATCGTAAGTGTTAGTAAATTTAAGGAACTCATTATTCGTAATATGAAAAACTGGTATCTCTCTGACGAATATTTAAAGGGTATTTTACACCTTTTAATTTTTATCCATAAAATAGGAGACTAATTCAAAATGGTCCAACTTGTCCTTAAAAAGTAAAATGTGACACTTATTCAGATTGGGGGAATATAAAGACGAAGTCTTTAGAAGAAAAAAGAAGAGAGAGAGAAATTAAAACTTGCTTATTTCATCGTAAGTTGGTGCTTTTGATTTTAGTTATATGAAATTTTCATTTCATTTCTCCATTTCTTCAGATATTAAAAAAGAAGTGATCGACTTTGAAATAACTTTAAGTTGTCTACTAAATCCTGCAAATCAATGGAGTTAAATAAGAAAATTAATTTATTTTTAAAAATTTAACAATTTATGGTGGAGAAATAATGAAGAGTAGTAGATCTGAATAGATTAAAAACTCTACTTTGCAACTTGAAGAGTTGATCAAACGGGTCAACATATTTTTTGTGTGTAACCAATATAATAAATTTTTGGCTATAACTTGCAATTAAATTTAATAGGCTATCGTTTGTCTTAATTTTGTGCCGAACGGCCATAAATGAAGTTTGCTCTTAAAAGATAGTAAAAAGGTCTATTACTCCTACTCTGAACCCCTTCATTTTTCTTGAGATGGAAGAGTATAATTTCCGAACTAATTAATCCAACAGTGATAATCATTACTCCCCGTTTCAATTCATGTCAAACTATTTGATTGAGCACAAAGTTTAAGAAAAGAGAAAAGATTTTTGAATTTGTGGTGTAAAATGAGACACATATATTTTGTGCGGCTATAAATCATTACATAAAGGTAAATTCTTTGTAAATAGAAAAAAATGTCATTCTTTTTGGCACGAACTAAAAAGGAAATAAGTTCACATAAATTGAAACGGAGGGAGTATAAAATTTCATATATTCTTCTAACATTTCCTACTATTAGTTAAATGTTAGGCTTCAATAAGGTATATATTATAATTACTACTTCGTATTATATCACGTTTCCAGAAAATTAATCTTTTTTTTTTCTAACTTTAATTTAATTTTCCATGAACGTTTGTGCAAATTCACAAAATCTCCAACATAAAAGTTCCTCTAATTTCATCATATTGTCATTAATTACTCATTAAATGAAAACATAATGATAATTTACTCAAATTCTTCTCATAATTAATATTTATTAAACAATTTTCTTAATTAGTGTGCCGGAAAAGTAATTTATAGAAGCTTATCTACTTTAAAATTACATAAATTTACATTAATATGATTAAGACGAATTTTAAAAATTTTATCTCCTATTTTAGTAATTTTTTATTCTGTTTGAAACGAATAAAGTATATTTTTCCAAATCGATTAATCCAACGGTGATGATCAAATCTCAAGATGAGGTAAAAGACACAAGGGGATGGACCAAGCAATATTTATTTTCATCATCCTATAAAACTTTATTTATATATTCTTTTACCATTCCTACAATATTTAATTGTTAGGGTTCATTGAGGTTTAGATTATATCAATCCCTAATCTTTCATTTTCCTAATTTGATTTTTCCAAGAATGTTTTGTTGCAAATTCACAAAATCTCAGACATCAAAAAACCCTTAAAACACCTGTCAACTCCNAAAAGGGAATAGTTTTTCACTCCTTAATCTCAGTTGGGGTTCTTGTATTTTCTCCATAGCTGTTCAAGAAAAGGGAAAAAAATATTACAAAATGAAAGGTGGTGGTGGGCTTGAAGAAATTTTATAAAACTGCACTTGTGAAGGTAAATAATTCCAATAAAACAGCTCAATTAGTATAGATTGCCATTACTCTTTTTTTTTTTTTTTTTTTTTTTTTTGGTGTTGTTGATCCTTTTTCAGCTTTTATCAACATTTATTTAGCCTATATTTTTTTTCTCTCTCTGTATTGATTCTTGTTATGTAAATGGAATTAGTCATTTCTTGATTAATGTAGGCTGTGCTTGAAAACCCCATAAAATTATAATCTTTTTGAGTTAATGGAAGCTTTGGTTAAATTTAAATGATGAGTCTCAAGTTTATTTCTTTTATTTTTTATTTTTGATGACGCTGGTGGTGTCTCCGCCAGCTTGCGTGCACCTCGGCTATTCCACCAGGTACCTGCTATCTCCCACCAGCACATCACAGGTATCAGGTAACTCTAGAGGTGTCAATGGTTCGGTTTGGCCGGTTATTTTATAAAATTTATACCATATCAATTTTTCGGTTATTCTATTATGTATAACCAAAATTAGACTTTTCAAAACCGTCTCAACAGTGCCGGCCCAAGGGTAAGGCTGCTAAAGCAGCTGCTTTGGGCCTCATAATTTTTGGGGCCCCAAATTTTTCTAACAGGTTATATATTAATTTATTTTTAGAATAATATTTAGTGTTTTAAATGAGAAAGTACAAATTTTCATAGTAAAAAAGTAGGATTAAATTGTTAATCATAAATTGAGAAAAAATATCTTTTTGGGAATCACTCCCTAGACCATAAATTGAGAAAGGATTCGATTATTAATTCATAACTCAATAAAGGTTAAAACCTTAATACAGTCCCACAACGTGTATATCTCAAGAGAAATTAAATGGATTAGATAGAATTATTAATAACTTTGCATATGAAAAACTAGAAATATAGAATTTAAATGAAATTATATATGAATTTTTCCTTTTATATAAAAAAAGGCCCCTCATTGAGATTTTGCTTTAGGCCTCCATATTTATTGAGCTGCCCCTGTCTCAATCATGTCGGTTTTTCTTCGGTATTGGTACGGTTCGGTTAGTTTTCGGTATTTTTTTAAATGTCATGTAAAAGTCACAAGTAGAAGTAGAATGCAATAGTATATGTACTTTTATAGGACTTGGCAAAACACACTAAAAAAATTAGTGTTTAAAGGGTAATGAATTAAGAAAACATGAAAGATGAACATAGTATAGATCCATCAACTATTCTACATTAGCGTAAAAGAAATCAAGTAAAGACAAAGAAAAGTGGAAAGATATTAACCAAGTTGGGACTCAAGAATAAAGTCCATAGAAGATTAAATATTCAAAAAGATAAATCTAAATCATACAAAAAAAAACATATTTGATACATTGTAGTTTGCTACTCATAATCGCTAGAATACCTTGTGTCTTGCTAGTGAATATGCATGAAATAATTTAGTTTCGATAGGAGTAGCATAATAAGTTTGAGAATTAGGATTTTGAGTATTAATTACTTGTTGACTTGTAAACATTTTCATAATTTCAAGGCCTAATGAAAAATTTAATGCTTTATTATTTTTAAACTTAATATATAAATATATTTTTCACATATAAATTATTTATTCGGTACGTTTCAGTATTTTTTCGGTTTATTTTCATAAAATTAAAAACCTACCCTAACTGTCGGTACGTTTATAGATTTATATATAAACCTACGGTTTTATTAAAAGAAACCTAAAAATCGACTCGGTACGATACAGTTTGGTCAGTTTAGTCGGTTTTTAAATATCCATTGACACCCCTAGGTAACTCTACCTCAAGTTTATAGATTGTATCACTTTTATTTTATCCTGTTTTAACTTTTCTTTTCCTGCTTTTTATCAGCATTTTTGTAGCCTCTTTATTTTTTTTGGATTATGGATTTAGTCATTTCTTGATTAACATAGGTTGTGCTTGAAAACCCCAGAAAAGGTACAATCTTTTTGAGTTAATGGAAGCATGGTCAAGTTTAAATGATGAGTCTCAGGTATATAAAGGAAATGAGAGTGGTTCTGGTATTAATCTTACAGTAGAAGTAAATGGCATTGATGGCTGTAGTAAGAATAGGCTAAAGAGCTTGTTTGATCAAGTTCTTTCTGTTTTTCTAAGTGAGGTAACTGAGAAAAAATGTGTAAGGCCTCTTCCAGTTATGACCGGTAGTGGGAAGCCTCTGGATTTGTTTAAACTTTACTGGATTGTGAGGAAAATAGGGGGATATGACCGCGTTTCGAGCAAGAATTTGTGGGGCTTTATTGCAGAGCATTGTGGGTTGGATGTTGGGGCTGTTGCATTTGTGAAGTTGGTTTATGTTAAGTATTTGGCTGAATTTGATCATTGGCTAAGGCAGTTATGTAAAGAAGGAAACTTGGAGAAACGAGAGGGTGGGGTTGTTCGCCGACTTGATTTGTTGTCAAAGGAGTTGGAGACAAGGTTTAGGAGGTTGTTGCTCCGTAGGTGTCAGAAAAAGAAAGATGCTAATTTGCTTCCTTCGAAAAATGGTCAGGTTGATTTTGAAATGCTTACTACTGAAAGTGTTAATAAAACCAATGATTACACAACACGAAGAAGTTTCAATGCTGAAAACAGGAACGGTAACCTTTACAATGGCGATGAAAGATCCGTTTCTAAGATTGACGACGACTACGTTTTTTTGGCATCTGCCGAGGGGATTGTCGAGAAGGTCCTTTATAAAGCACCTGAAAAATCAAATAATGAATATGATGACGACGAAAAATTCTTTGCCCGCGATATTAAAAATAAAGTGACATCTAACGGAGAGGTGATTCAGAGAGCTGCGTCGGCCATGAGTGTTATTGAGAATGTATTTGATTCTCGCAAGAGAAAAAGAGAATCTTCATGTTTCTCAGGAATGTTGAATTGGATTAATCATGCGGCAAAACATTCTAATGATCCTGAAATTGGAGAAGTTCCTGAATCTTCCAAGTGGAAAGGTCATACAAGCAACGAGTTCTGGTTCCAGGTCTTGTTGGTTAAGGAAGCATTGCTGAAGAGAAGGCATACTGATACAAATGCAGAGGAATCTAATCCTCAGGTATTTATCTGATCCTTATTCAATGTAATTGAGTGATTGGCAAATGTCTTTGTTCACTATTGCCTTATCTTCCATGATTTTTTGTAGCATTGGCAAATTGCTTGTTACATGCCAGGGGCCTTTAAATATGATTTCTTTATATTATTTTTCTCAGAAGTATTTAAATGAGAATCACATCTATGGCTCATTTTGCTTTTGGTTGACCAATGCCTTGAATTGGTGTTACATAATATTTAATATTATTATGTTACACATGTTCTATCAAAGACTTGATAGTCGTTGTAGCCTTACTATAACCAAGTCACTTGGCACAGATTAGGCCAAAATGGTAAATTGGTTCATCATTTCTCGTAACAAGTTTAGCGTATCACAACTCCAAGAACCAAAAATGATATTTTACTTTCAAAGTTCTCCAAGGCAAAAGATCGATCCATACTGCCAGTACTCGGAGCTCTTTTAATATTTTGTTTCCCCGTGTGGCTTTATGTCAGTTGTCAAGCACAACAACGGGTAAAGCTAAACAGATGTGGCTGAGCTGATATTACCAACTGGGGCTCATTCGGGGTATTTGAACTTACAAAATATCCTTGAATTTTGAAGGCTGGAACTACAACTTATGCTCCTTCAGATGGGCTTCAACTTTTAGCTTTTATGTTAATATTTACCAATCTAACTTTTCTTTGTTGCTGCACTTTCCTTTTCCTTCTGGCAAATTACTGATGTCCCATTAGTACGTCGTCTATCTCAATGTTCAAAAGGTACATACTACTAGACAATTTCCAGGTTAAGAGAGGCCAAGTTTGAGATGCACAAATTACGAATTGAGTTGATGACTTACTTTTGCTTTCTGTTTCAAGTTTAACCCTCTGGGGGAGGGAAGGATTTGACTGCTTTCCCCTACGGTACTGTCTGCGCTTGCAACTCTGGCAGAACATAATGACTGAGATATTCTATGGTCTTTGTACTTTTAGGGTGATTTGATTGCAAATAACATTTAACTCGGCATGCTCCCATTTTATAGAATTTTTATTTTGTTTTTGTCCCTCCCTTCTCCTGGTTATCTCTCTTTGCATTTCTTTACTGTGTTTTAAATAGTTATTTCTTTTCTTAACATGGTATCAAGCCGGACCCATCCCTATTCTTGGTTTGTCGAATGTCCGACCCCCATGTTATATTGTCTACTCCCCGGATGTTCAATCCTGGGCGTGTAGAAAAGTATTAAGTGCCCTTCATTGATTGAAGGAATGAGTTGTTGTCTCCTTATATAGTCTTAGGCAGTCCTCATCTCATGAACTAGCTTTTGAGTTTAAGTTAGGCCCAAGATCTGTTTCTTAGAAAATAGACATATCTCATCTCCTTGCTGAGCTGATGTTAGAATATTTGCCAATTTTCCTGACTGTGTTATGCTAGTAAATCTTTCTTCTAAAAGATATAGTATAAGGATCTCTCTTGGCCAAAGAAAAAGTAATGTATTAAAAGGAATGATAAGCTGGGAAGCACCTTTTGTCTCCACTATGGCTGACTTAAAATTCTGCTACTGCTGGCACATTCATGATTCACCACCGAAATATTTATGTGAATCGAACCGTTGTGATTTATTTTGTCACACATCTTTTCCTGGTAGTCAGAAATTTGAACCTTGTACAATGTGTCTTCTATGACTTCTCAAGTATCAATCTATCGAGAGCAATTCGTTATCCGTTTTTGTCATGATGTAAATTAGCAGAAAAAGCAGAGAATGCATCCGTTCATGTATGAAGAGAGACTCAACAATCAACCTGCTGAAAAACTAAGATGCAGCAAAAGGATCCCCGTTTCACCAAAACATGTTCCTTGTCCGTGTTGTAACTCATGTTCGACCTCTCAAAACAAAGCTTCAACTCATCAGAAGGAAGAAGAACAAGATACTGGGCCAGATCTTACAAGTATTGAGGTATCAGTAACAGAAAAAACTGATGACTTAGGGGATCAGCAAACACACCCTGAAGTTTCTGTGGGTCCTCTCCACCAAGCTGAAGTCCCTGAATGGTCGGGGGTGATTTCTGAGAGTGATTCCAAGTGGTTAGGCACGCGAATGTGGCCTCCCGAAGTGGAAACAACAAAATCTTTGGTTGAGTTAGATCCTATCGGGGAGGGAAGACGAAGTTCATGTGGTTGTCGATTTCCACAATCTGTTGAATGCATCAGGTTCCATATTGCGGAGAAGAGGTTTAAATTGAAGCTCGAGCTCGGTCCTTTGTTCAACCGATGGAGGTTTGATCGCATGGGAGAAGAAATTTCACTTTCTTGGACAGCTGAAGAGGAAGAGAGATTCAAAGATATGGTAAGGTCAAGTTCTACGTCGAATAACAAATGGAAGAATTCTAAGAAACTACTTCCATCCAAGACTAGGAATATGTTGGTTAGCTATTACTTCAATGTATTCCTTATCAGACGTCGGAGCTATCAAAACCGAGTTACTCCAAAAGAACTCGATAGCGATGATGATGAGATTGAGCTTGGGTCTGTCGGCGACAGTTTTGGTAATATTGCAGTTCATGTACCAAGCTCCAGGTCACTAACATGCGTCGAGAATAAGGTATGCTCTGATCTGGAGTAACATGTCATGGACATTGTAGCGAGTGTTCTAGTTGATACCAACAAATATGTTTTCTTGAATTTAACAAGCAGTTATTGCAACTTGCTTGGCAATTTTGACAGACTAATTGAGTGCAGGTAATGGCAAGAGCAAATACTACTCAGTAGACTGAAGTGATGATCTTATTATGTAAATATATATATCTGAAATATTGCCAAATAGTGCATTGTAAAAGTTTAAACAAATTGCATATAAGGATTCAAGGTTTTCTTTAATGACGCTTGATTGCTTAAGCGGAATGTCTGATCATATAAGATTAGTTAGTTTTGATTACATTCGAGATTGATTGAAGATACAAATATATAGGATAAAATGAAAGAGTGTAGCGCGAGGTAGTTTAGTTATGTCTTATTTAAATCTTTAAATGCACCTGTCTATAGGTGTGATATGATGCTTGAGAATGTTAAAGGTGAAAGGTAAAATCACAGAAGGAAGTTGTTTTAAAAGATCATACAATCTTTCTGACTTATAGCCAGCTTGGCCAAGCTTCTAAATCAGCTTATTTCGAGATCATACAATCTTTCTAACATTTTATATTTGACTAATTAATTTGAAAGACACTTTTAATCAGAAATTAGTGTTTAGTCAAGCTTTTAAAAGGTACTTCTAAGTGTATTTGTTTTAAAAGTACTTTTGGGGAGAAGTTAATTTTTTTGCTTCTACAAAACTACTTCTGCTTTTGCTCAAAAACGTTTTTTTTTCTTTTAAAAATTTGCCAAACATTTCAACTTTGACAAAAAACACTTTGTTTTTTTGGTGGTCTTGGATAAGCTTAGCCAAATATGCTATTATATACTTTCTCCGTTTTAAATTAGACGAGGTATTTTCTTTTTTAGTTTGTTCCAAAATAAATGATACATTTTTATACTTGAAAATAATTCAACTTTAAACTCTTCATTTTATTCTTAATGAGAAGCTTTTATAACCACACAAATATCATGTCCTCACAAAACTTTTATTCCTTAAATTTTTAAGACCACAAGTTTCAAAAGTCTGACAGGAGTGGGTTGCTCTAGTGGTAAGCACACTCCACTTCCAACCAAGAGGTTGTGAGTTCGAGTCACCCCAAGAGCAAGGTGGAGAGTTCTTGGAGGGAAGTAGCCGATGGTCTATCAAAAATAGCTTCTCTACCCCAGGGTAGGGGTAAGGTCTACGTATACACTATCCTCCCCAGATCTCACTAGTGGAATTATACTGGGTTGTTGTTGTTAAGTTTCAAAAGTCTTCTTCTTTTTTTCTTAAATACCGTGTCAAGTCAAACTACATCATCTAAATTGAAACAGAGGGAGTATCTAGTTTGTATTGGTTGATTTATAATTATGTTTGATATTGTTAGGAGCCATTTTAAGTCTGTTTTAGAGATCTGTAGGTTAATAAAAAATGTAGAGAACCTGTAATGTTAAAGAATGGCAAACGTAGAACGAAATGCATAATGATGATCCATATAGCCGAGTTTAATTGCTTTGAGGCGCACTTTGTTTTTTATTTTGCTGTACACTTCTGAAGATGGTAGAATAAAGCACGTTATCTGAATTCATATAGTTAATTCTAACTTACTTCGGATTGAGGGTAATTATTGTTTGACCAAAAATATAGATTTTGGTTCAATCAATTAGATTTAAATAAAGAAGAGTTAATCTTAGTTAAAAATAATATCCTAAAGATAAAGCTATCGGTGTTATGACAAATAACTTGTATATTTGTCCAGATGGCAACGTATATACGCAATAATAACAACATTCAATGATCCCAAAAAATGGAATATGGCATTAAATAGTAATGAATGTCAATAAATAGCATTTAAGTAAATAAAACGTGTGAGTCACTTCTTTCTGACAATGATGAATGATTGATAAGCCTTTGAACACTTAGGTTGTTCTTGGATCCGATGAAAATGCTAGACAAGAATCTTAGTAAAAAGATTATTTTTGTATGCTTGCAATAGGACCGGATTCTCTCTATAAAGTTAATGTGTTTTTTACAAATGAATATCTCATGTACCCTATCATTGTGTCTATTTCTATTTATAAGGAACATGTTCCTAGAAACCCTAATAGTACATGTGCAGAGAATATCTACTAGAATATTCTCTTTTATGTTTTATCTTAAAACTAGCCGTTATAACTCTGTCTAAGATGCTCGACCTTGAACTACGGTAACTTCACGACCTTGATCTTTGCTGACTCTTTGACCGCACCCTTCCTTGCTTCGAGGCTACTTCATCCTGGGGCCAATCTTTGTGGGGACCTTACCGATAGCACGTAGAGGTCGATGAAGGCTACAATAGTGCTGACGTGGCTTGCCTATAGCAAAGATATTTTTTGGCCCATACAGTTAGTCCCTCCTCTTATTGAGGTCGTCCTCGCGGGCGAGGTCGATGAGTGGATAATGTCGTTTGTGGTCAAGCTTACTGAGTTGGCTATACAGGTCGTGGTCGTCGTAACGATCAAGCAACATGGCTTTCTGAGGACCGCTCATTTTGAATTCTTTGAATTTTCCCGGGAAATGTGTTGGAACTATCTGGTCCAAGAGAAAGAATGACGTCATGAAATCATGCGTCATGCTGACATCGTTTCCCGATGCGCTTGCATCGATTCACGAGTGATCCTTGATTAGTTCTGCCGTTTCGATCTTCGTGCTAATCATGACCTGCCGTTTCGATTCTGGTGCCCCCAAGTCTTATAAATAAGGGTGGTTTGTTGTGATGACCCAAAATGTCATCTTTAAATTTAATAATTAATTATATGATCTAAGCACTATTTACCATTACTCGACTTGTGTGTGCAGTCCGTAAAAAAAAAATTCCGGAAAGTTTTCACGTGAAAAATGGATTAAAATGTGAATTAGATGCTTAAAACACAACTGAGTTGACTTTGGTCAACATTTTGAGCAAACGCACTCGGATCAGTATTTTGACAGTTCCGGTAGGTCCGTATCGTGAATTGGGACTTGGGCGTATGCCCGGAACCAAATTCCGACGTCCCTAGCCCGAGATATGGAATTTTGATAAAAAAATTTAAAGTTTAAGTTCAAATAGTGACCGGATATCGAATTATGTGCAAATGACCCCGGAATAGAATTTTGATGATTCCAACAACTCCATATGGTAATTTTGGACTTAGAAGCGTGATCAGAATTTTATTTGGAAGTCTGTAGTGGAATTAGGCTAATGTCGAAAGTTAGATTTTTGGGAAGTTTGACCGAGGGGTTGACTTTTTGATATCGGGGTCAAAATCCGATTCTAAAATTTTTTATAGCTCCGTTATGTCATTTATAACTTGTGTGCAAAATTTGAGGTCAATCGGACTTGATTTGATAGGTTCCGGTGTTGTTTATAAAAATTGAAAGTTTCAAAGTTCATTAGGCTTGAATCTATGTGTGATTCGTGATTTTAACGTTGTTTGATGTGATTTGAGGTTTCAAATAAGTTCGTATGATGTTTTAGGACTTGTTGGTGTATTGGGTTGAGGTCCCGAGGGCCTCAGGTGAGTTTCGGATGGTTAACAGATCAAAAAGCTGCTGCAAAAGCTGCTGCAATTTTCTGTTGGAAATGCTGCCATAATCGAACTTCCTGAGGATCGAAGGCAGGCTCGAGATCCATGATCGATGGCAGGCTCGAGAGCCATGATCGAAGGCCACTGCTCGAAGGCCCAGGAACGAGAGCTATGACCAAGGCCAGTGATCGAAGGCCTTAAAGATCGAAGCCATGATCGATAGTCAGGGTTGATGGCTGTGATCGAGCCCCAGGGTCGAGGGCCATGATCGAAGCTATGATCGAGGACCATGATCGGACTCCCATGATCGAGGTCCAGGATCGGACCCCATGATCGAGGTCACCCTAGACAGATCTGTTAGATATAAAATCAGGGGCAGGGGGACTTCGTCCCATTCGCCATTTTTAACAACTTGGAGCTTGAGTAGAGGCGATTTTTGATATATCTTCAAGGAAAAACATTGGGATAAGTGTTCTTAACCCAATCTTGGTTAGATTACCCGAATCCACCACTGTTTTCAACATTTAATTGGTGATTTAAGTTGGAAAAATTTGAAAGCCCTCTTAGATAGATTTGAGGATTTGAGGGTCGAATCGTTATCGGAATTTAGTCATTTTGGTATGGTTAGACTCGTGGTTGAATGTGCGTTCATATTTCGTAACTTTCGCCGGATTTCGAGATGTGGGCCCCATGGGCAAAATTTTAGCTAATTTCAGATTTTATTGTAAAATATGCAATATTTTCTTATGGAATTGATTTCTATAATTTTTATTGACTGTATCGAATTAATTATGACTAGATACGAGTCGACCGGAGTCGAAAAATCGAGGAAAAAAATATAATACTTGATTAAATTGGAGCAAGTCAAGGTAAGTGACTTGTCTAACCTTGTGGGGGGGAAAATTTCCCCTAGAATTGATATTAATGTGATTATTAAAATGTGTTAAAAGTCGTGTACACGAGGTGACGAGTGTGTACACGGGCTAAATGTGAAAGATTATATTTTTAAATTGTGTAGATCATTGTTGCGTAGTTATTAAATTATTTTATCTTGTTATATTCTTCATCATTGATCTGTGATATATATTTTAGATTTCTTTACCTTTTTCTGCTAATTATTTTACCTGTTTAATTGAAACTTGGTTTCTTTTATACTGTGCATTATTTGAAGTTGATTTTCTTTAAATTAAATATTATTAATATGAAGTATTTGACATTTTTAAATTTGATATTGAAGCAACGTATTAAAAATTTGAAATATTATTTTCTTGAATTATTTATTCTTGAATATTTTCGTAAGATTTTTTTTGGATTATTCTGGCATGAGCCGTGAGCTCTTTATTATTGAAAAATATTGTTGTTGATTTTTTTGTGGAAAATTGAAATATTGGGCACTTGAGGTGCAAATTGTGATATATTGTGATATTGATACGCATGCGGTGGTATAAGGTCTGGGTGTTGAAACGCATGCGGTGAGATAAGGGTGGCTTGATACGCGTGGCTAGTAGGGGTGACTACTAGAAGTCATGCGGTGTGATAAGGGTGGCTAAAACGCGGGATGCTATTTCGGAAAAAAAA